GCCAGCGCGACCATCCTCCTCTCAGCAGCCCGTGGGCAGAGCAAAGCCAGAGCGAAGTGAATAATGAGAGACACTCTTGGAGAATGCTGCTTTCAAACTGGACGCAGCAGGAGCAGCAGAATCACGTCTGATGCTCCTTTTTTGCTGCTTGTACCAGCTTCTGACGCGCGGCTGAAGAAGCTTTGCTGCTCTGGCTGCGCTGTCGAAAAGTGGCTCTGACGCGCGTTGGGCGGAGCTACTCTATCCTTTCTTTGCCTTGCAGCTATATTTGCTGTGATCAGTGGGAATAAAGTAGTTTTATTATGTTTTTAAGTGGGAAAATCCACCTGAAAACTTAATCAGTGCAGTCAGTTCATCCTGCCTTCCAATATTTCTGTCGGAGCCGCTCAGACCCCCACATACCAGCGGTGCGCTGTCAGTAGGATCCCATTCAACGGGCTTGTTTGTCAGACATGGTAATTTTTCTAAAGGAAAACTGCTAAGTAAAAAGGTCCTCATAATGTAACAGTGAATATTAGACACTGATTTTTTTTTTTTTTATGTAAGAGGAAAAATGTAAATGGAAAAATCAGAGCTTAAAATAAAACTCAAGATTTGTAATTTTTTATGTTGTATAATTTTCTTTTTCTTCGAATTGATATTATAAAACTGGTATCGAAAAAAGTATCGTTCAGGAACCGGTATCGAAGTGAAGGTATCGGTATTGGTACCGGAACCGAAAATTTTTGAACAATACCCAGCCCTAGATGTAGCCTAATAAAATAACAATTGCTTCCAAGTAACAACTAATATAATAATTTAATGAAAAACTAGGTTTCAATAACAGCTGATTGATTGTACAAGACTTCTGGAGCACTCATTAAAATTAGTTTGTGCAATAGGGAAGATAAAAGAAAAAAGGTAAATGCAACATTTACTAACGAGAAATTTGTTTTGTACGAACACTTGCACGGATCCCAATGATCTGGGAGGCATGGCCAGCAGTTCAGCTTTATTTTCATAAAATTGAAAGAGCCTTAAAACAGCTAACTATGAACAAGCTCAAAATAGGTAGAACTGAGGAGGTGAGTATCCATATTGTGAGGAATTGCGTTAAAAGAAATTAATGACCATGTTTTATATAGCCAATATAGCTATCATGTTTAAAAGAAAACATAATAGATCCAATTTAAAGCATCATAGCCTCCTTCAACTATGTACAGTAGGAAAGGACAACCATTGTGATGGAAGTGTAACAGTCACCATGAGTAATCATGAACATTTCTCTGTAAGACACCGGACCAAACCAAAAGTGTAGAAACTCACCAATTGGAGGAGTCAGCCAGTTGACTGGCTAAATCAACTCAACCCTTTGATTTAGGAGAGGTTTGTGTTATCTTTCATTTATGGCCATGCAGTAAACCTGAAGGTGTGGGTTAAGTGTGCCATGTTGGAGTGAAGAGGTCACTGCAACCACCTGGACTGCTGGACAGCTGCTACTGAGATACAAGCTACTCAGAGTGCCTTTTATTGTAAAAAAAAAAACTACACACCTACAAAACTGAACACAGCTACGTTAGGTTTTCTTCTTTATGCATGGCCTAAGTTTACGTAATGATTTAGAAGGACAAAGACAGGATGGAATTTGAACATGTCACTTACATGTGTTAATGACACCAGTTTAATTAAAGCATTTGAGAATTTTGGTTCAAATGTGTCTGTTTTGCTTGATAGTCACATGATAAAAAAAAACTATATGTTTGTGCTTAGACTGCCATCGGTAACCTAGAAGATAGTTGCACAGCTGTAATGAAGCATGCTTACTCTGAGACACCAAAACATGAGCAACGGGCCACACCAAACTATACAAAACAGCAGCATTAATCAAACAAAAGCTTCTTTTTCAATCCTTTTTCCTGTGGATTCCAGTTTCGCCTTGATGAGATGTGTCCATAATACAAACCGAAGGCAAGGCTCTTTGGTTTGGATGTACGTTGTTGTCTTTGTTGTGATGGGACTAGAAGGCTGTTGTCTCTGCACACACCCTGCTGTTGAATCCGGGGAGATGTTGAGAAAATGAATAGGTTCTCAGGAATGACTGGCGTCTTGGAAACTCTCCATTCTCTCGCCTGTGGAGAAAGGTGTGTCTGGTTTCACTTGTCAGGTGAATGTGTTTGTGTTAGTGGTTGGTTTTATGGCTGGAAATAATTAGTTACACTTCAACAGAAAAACAAATAGACAGTGGAGGATGGAGAGAGAAATACTGCACGTTAACTTCTGTTTATTGGGTTTAAGGGGCTGATGGAAGTTTGTATGTAGAGACAGGTTTAATCAAACTTGTTTCCAGATGGAAATAGAAATAAACCTCTACATCACTTCTTTGTCTATTTTTATGTATCAGTCTTGAAAATTTCTGTTGGATATTTCCCAATATGTCTTATATTGTAGGTGGATTACGATTACACACTTAGTAGCTCTGTCCTAGTTCTTGAACAGTTGAACTTAGGGACCAGATTAAATGGTGGATTGTTTCTAACAAGCTTTGTATCCTTTATCTTGGTGTATAGCAAACACTGTGTATACAACAAGTGTATACACAAAGTGTCCTATCTTAAATGTAAAAGCTACATTGTATTATATTGTCATTTCATGTGACAAAGCATCAGGAGCACAGGTAAGTGAAGGAAAAAAAATATGAAGGTTTTTACATTTAAAATGTAAAAATATAAAAGCTGTGATCTGCATTTGTATTGAGCCTATGTTTGGCTGCATTTGCAAACTTTTTGGGGATATCTGCTTGTTTAGACATGTACATCTATAGTGTACATAATACTGCCAACTCAATTAGATGTGGACATTACAGCAAATTAAATACTTTGGTCTGAAGCCTTCACTTAACAATTGTGGTTTATTTAATCCATTTTCACATCAACATTTACCAGTTTCCCTGTTTTAGGTAAAGAAAAGCACACTAATAAGACTTTTTTATTTTGTTTAGGGTAATATGAAGTGAGCATGAGGAAGTACTTAATCATAAAACATGAAAACCTACAGAACTGGAAAATCTGAACAGGATATGGAGTAGACAGAGGACAGAGTCAAGGTGGCAAATAACAAACATCAATAAAAAGCAGGGATTTTTTTATACTGGGGTAAGGACGTAAAATTAATACACATAGATAAGTTAATAAGGATATTAGAAAGACCTGATGAGAGCAAACAGGCAGACAGAGGGTGGATGGACAGCTAACAAAGAGGAAGCTAAACTATAAAAAAGAAAGAAAAAAATACCATGTTGAAAGGAGAAAAAAAATAAATGCAAAATGGAACAAACAAAAGAATTAAGAAACTAATTAAGATGGGTTCATGTTTCTAGCAATAATCAACAGAAAAGTAATCAAAGCACATCTTTAAACCAAAATCTAAAACACTCAAAAATCATAAACTTGTTGATTTTCTGCCACACATGGAGCTGTTGGCTTAAATGTGCCATTTTGGATCGGCAGGGCTGGCTTTCTTTCAGCCTCTCTTCCTGCCACTCTTACAATGAGGCCAAAGATGCAACACATGTCAAATAGTCTTATTCTCATCAATAACTCATCAAGTCTATGCTGCAAAACTGTGCTGTTTCCTGAGCTGCAATCAGACACTTGCTAGTCTCTAATTTATGGTGCAGACCATGTCTTGATAGCTTTACAGGTGTGCTACGCTCCATTTTTAAGACAATGAACTGAATGATGATCTGAAAGATATTCATTATTTGGGATACTGTTTTTAATCTATCGTCCTTAACATCTACTTAAAAATTAGGAAACGCTTACAATCTCTTTCCTTATAAAACTATTAAGTTCTAAATATTAAAAAACCATTAAAAATTGCAATTTTATTCTTGGAGGTTATAAAGTGCCAAATAAAAGTTAAGAGCAGAATCCTTTTCTACACTTGTTTTGGTGTTTGTTTGTTTTTGTTTTTGGTCTGAACATGTTTATGTCTTGGGACTTTGCAAAAAGAAAAGTGAGGCCTGCCATGATTTCATGATAGTTAAGGACCTCCCAAATTTTATGTTGATAGGCCGTTGCTATTATTTTGTTAGGTTAGGCTTTGGTGAGAGGGTTTGCTGCTTTTCATGTTTTCTGCATTTGTTAATAAGGAATTACATTGTATTTCACTTTAGTCCCGAAGCTATTCCATAAAGTCAATTCAAGTAATGTTTTGGTAGAGTCACTGAGTTGTATCTCAAGTTTCTAGGTTGTGCATGTAGCAACAGAGAAGAGACACTTGTATTGTGTTGTTGACCTTGAAGGAATCCGTCTTACCAAACATTCATGTCCCTACAATCATTTGGTTTCATCTCTATTCTTGTTTCTGGTATGCTTGTACCTAACAGAGCACTTTGCTCTGAATTTGCAGGTTTAGTTAGGAGATCTTTTGGTTGTCAGGCTCCTCTCCTATTGAACCAAATACCAGTTTTATTTTTTAAGGCAGAAAGCCTCTTTACTTTTAAGGCAAGGCTTAAAATGTTCCTCTTTTTATAAAGCTTATAGTTTGAGTGGTCCGGGTTATTTTCTAATTCTGCAGTATTTGTTTATTCATCCTCAAACTTTTTGCTCTCTCTGTTGCTTCTCATCATAGTACCTCCACCTCTCTGGCTGTGTATCCATCCTAGAGGTGTCATCAACACCTTTGTTTATAGAAGTTGGAGCTTGGCCTGTTTTTCAGTGTAGTCCTGTTTCTCTGACTGTGACTAACTGGATGTGCTCTCTTCATCCTCTGACATAGGAGCTGGCTCAGAGCTTGTCTGCCTGGCTGTGTCAAGATACAGATCAGAAGGACCCAGTATTCAGGCAAGACAGACAGTGGAATTATTCAAAAAGTGTTTATTTACAAACAAATGGATCTGTGGTAAAAGCTGCTAGGATGTCTGAGGCAGGATACTCTGAAAAGAGGAAATACAGGTTTGTGACCACGTAAATTTAACAGAAGAAGATTATGAACGTGAGTCACTAACCTGGTTTACAAGTTCAGTCCACAGCCAGAGAAGGAGGTAGGATCCAGCCAGTGGGCTGCCAACAAGATGCGGTGGGTGTGGCCCAGAGTGTCCCAGATGTTGCAGCCCCAGAGAACATGCAGGAGGCCCAAGGCAGGTCAGGTAAATACTTCAGAACAGGCAGGCTCAGAGGTCCAGGAGTCTGGAGCCAGGTCAGGCTAACATATCAGAACAGGAAAAAGCAGGCTCAGAGGTCTAAGAGTCTGAAGCTAGATCAGGCAAACAGATCAGAACAGGAACAGGCAGGCTCAGAGGTCGGTGAGTCCAAAGACAGTTCAGGCAAACCATTCAGACAGGAACAGCTTCTTTCTGTATGCCTGCTTCTGTCTCCTTGAACCCCAGTAGGCGTTGGCAGATGGCTGATCACACTGAGCCTGGTTCTGCTGGAGGTTTCTTCCTGTTAAAATTGAGTTTTCCTCTCCACTGTTGCTACAAGCATGCTTGGTGTGAGGGCTTGCTTTTGAGTAAATGAGTCAATGCAATCAACTGGTTTTCCTTAGATAGAAAACTTTGAATCAATTTGACTGTATGATCCGGTTGAATTATAAAGTGACTTGCCTTGTCACATGCCTTGTGAACTTGATGCTTTATAAACAAACTGAATTGAATTGTTAATTTCTTGAATTCATTCAATCTAAATATTTATGATTTTTTCAGTTTTTTTTTTTTTTTCAGAGACATTTTCTTCAGTGATGGTTTGAAAGAAGACCATAGAATAATGTAAATGGAGAGAAAACATGTTTTTACAGCACTTAATATGTTGATGAGATGACATCTTACAGGTATGTGAGAATATAATGAACCAACACCTTTTGCAGTAAGTGTGTTGTGTATCTAAATTATGGTAAAAATATTTACTTTAAAGGAAATATTATTTGTCATTCCATTTTTTCTGTATCCTACAGTGCTTTGCTCCAGCACTAAGGGGAAAAAAGATTATCAGAGAAACCAGATAAGCACTTATTTACAACCCTGGAATCTGAGGAGATTTATTAGACCACCATCACTAAAGAGAGCCACAGATCAAAATAAGTGAATAACAGTCAAGACAGCTGTAGCCTTTCTAATGATGGAATGGTTGTGTAATCTCATTTAGGACCAGAATGTGATGCTAAGTGAAATTTTTAAAACAATCTTGCAAACCAGCTATCAAAACAGTTAATAATAAAAAACTGAAAATTATGGAGATAAACACCTGATACAAATAGCTTTCTCAAGGTAATCTTGAACTTCAGTGTAATTTAACACCTCTAAAAGACTTTGTTCTCCTAACTTACAGGATTCTTACTCCTCGCTCATCAGTTTTTACACCAGATCTAAATGTGCAGCATTTGCAGTTACTGACTATGTCAGTAATTGATGGCAAAGGTCATCTGTGAATATGTCAAAACCTCTGGGGACCTTTGCAAAGCGTCTGTGATGCCTTGAGAATAAAAATGAGTTGTTTAATGTCATTCACAGTCATTACCAGGTTACTGATCTCAGCTAAACATTGCTGCAGACTCCTTTTGATTATGAGCAAGTTGTTTTCAGGGAACCTATTTTGGATCATAAGTAACGTCTATTCTATCAGCATTTAATAAACAACATTTTCCAAATGAAGAGTGGGACATAAATAAACAGTGACTGTTTAGTAATTAAAAAAACAAATGTTTCACATTACAAAAGTAAAAACATCATTTGTCTTTAAACTTTTTGGATTAAACTGTAAGGATGCAACAGTAACAAGGAGAGTGCAGGATTTTCACAGAACTACCCAAAGATTTGGGTAGAACTAATTTTAGGATACGTAAGGGAGTTAATGATGACATCTGTGCTTTAGGGTGTCTGGAAGTCTTTCCATCTCTGAAGCATATGCTCTCTCATCACTATCAGAGTGTTCTGCAAAGATATGTTTGTCTGTGAGAAGTTAATATTGGTCCTTTGGTGGTTGCTTTTGCCTTGGACCTATATGCATTTGCAGTGTTGGGCAAGCTACTTGTCCAGTGTAGTGAGCTAAGCTATCAGCTACTCAACAATAAATTAAGCTTCACTACACCAAAGCTACCACCTAAAGAAATATAGCAAGCTAAGTTACACTAATGTGTTAAAAGTAGCTTAACTACATCAGAAGCTACTTAACGTTGCACCAACCTAATATCAATTCAAAATGAGTCTGATACACTGGTTAAAACATTTATTAAAGATTAGCCAATGATATAACAGTGTTAACATTGCTTTATGGTCAGCATAATAAAATGAAAACTGAAATAAATACTAGTGGACAAACTAGTAAACAATCTGTAAACAAGTAAACAACCAAACCCTACAAAAGGCATCTTTAGGGTCTGTCTTTGAAAAAACTTCTTTAGACCTCAAATAAACAAGTGGATTCAAATAACAAATGAAACTGCTTACAAAAAAAACATAACTAACCTTACATTTAACACAATGATTAATAAGCATGGCTCAGAGAGTGATCACTGGAACAATAGTAAATGAACTAAACTGAATGACAATCAAATTTCTGTGAAGTCCAATCAAAGTTTTAGTAAATAAGGAATAGAACAGGGTGGGGCTGGGGGGCTAACGGTGTATGCATCAGCCCTTATTGTTCTTACAAGAGGTGTTTGTTCACACGGCAGAAAAGAAGCTTTTCAAAAGTTGCATCAGAAAGGCGGTTCCTCTTTGGTTTGAAAATGTCTTTCCCTACGCTAAAGAGTCTTTCACAGGCTGCACTTGCTGGGACTCCTGTATTGTACTTAAGAAAGAGTTTTTTCATTAGTGGCAGACTTTGGAATGCATTTACAAGTTTAGTTTCAGATGACTGCAAGTACGTGTCTACTACATTCAGCTCTGTGGCTGATCTCAGTGATGGGAAGTATCCCGTTACCTCATCAACATAATCAGCTAGGTTGTCATCTTCTGTTTGCCTGTGACCTGAAGGCTGGGTTTGAAGCAGGTGTACCTCTACTTTCAGGTCTGACACAACTTGAGCCTTCTTGTCACTCGGGATGTAGGTCAGTCTGAACATCGGATGAGTTGCAGAGGCTCTGAGCAACCTGGTATCTTGAAAAATGTACTCAAATCTTTTCTTAATCCCACTGATGATCGCATCTACCATGGGGTTGCAGTGATGAAGCCGGCACTCCCTCTTCATCTCTTCCATCCTTTCAAGTAGAATTGAGATGGTTGGCACCAACACTCCCGAGAAGCCCATTCGGTCAGACTGTAAGACGTCAAGAGCCTTGGCCAAAGGCGTCATAACCTTGGAAAACAGTCAAAGAAAAATATTAATTCACATAAATCACAAAAAGGTAAATTATTTAAGTAAAAAAATTTAGTTGTTTTTATTATGTTATTATTACCTCCGCCAAGGCGGTCATGTTTTTTACTTAAACATGGGTATTGGGACAAAGAACAGCTGATTTTTGGGGGTGATCCATAACACTGTGTGGAATTTGTGGGTCAGTCACCCATTTTACCTTGGCGGAGGTCTGCGCTCTCCAAGTGCCTTCTTAGTTATTTACTGTATCACTACGGCTGGGTAAAAAAATCGATTTAATCAATTTTGAATTGATTCCTTTACATTTTAGCAAAATCGATGTCTAGGAAATGAGATCGATTGGTTTAATAGTGACGCGTGTGACGTGCAAATTCAAATGAGCAGGAAAGAAGCACTCAAGATGACTTCAAGCCAGACAGCTGCAAATATAGCCAATAGGTCGACTGAAGACATTAACAAATGGGGGCTGAGCAGCAAACACCCTGTAGTTGTTACAGACAACACTGCAAATATGGTTTGTGCAGAGAAGATAATGCAGCTCATGAATGTCTGCTGTGTCACGTCTGCTTGCTCGAGTGAGGCTTCACTTTTTCACTTTTCACAAACAAGTTTGCACTTTTGAGACAGTTTTGTTCACATCTCCAGTTTAAACTGTCCAATTTACAAGTTTGCACTTTGTGTTTAATATGACCGGAAAAAATAAAATATATGAGTATTTTGAAACACAGTTGAACCACTTTCATTATTGTAAAAACAGATCAAATCAAAATTAATTGATTTAGAACTGCATGAATCAAAATCGAATTGATTCAGGACTTTGGCAAAATTACCCAGCCCTATTTATCACTTATAAAATTCAGGCTATTGTGATAGCTTGTTGTCATCATATTCACATACTATTTGCACACTAGGCATATTTACCTTCACGTATTCCTGTATGAATGTGAATTCTGTTGACTTGAATCGTGCCACCTGCAGCTTCTCACAGACTTCATAGAATTCTTGTTCTTTTGTGAGGATACAAGTATTCAAGCGCTCCATGGCATGGTAAGTGGAGTTCCACCTGGTTAAAATGGGCACTATCAGCTGACATCCTAGCTTCTCTTGAATGGTGTCAGAGGCTTGAGTGCTCCTGTGTTGCTTGTTCCAGAGAGCCTGACATTTGGCAAGCGTTGATCTCGATAATCTCTTGAATGTCTCTGACTGGGTCAATGCGTGTTCAATGTCTCTGGTGGCAACAAGATTTAGAGAGTGGCAGGCACAGCGCTGGTGTGGAGGAAGGCTGTAATCTTCCTGTGTTTCCGCCAGGATCTCTGTGAGATTAATGAAGACAGGTTGATCTTCCTCATCCTCATCGTCTTCCTCCTCCTCTTCCTCAGCTCTGTATTCCTGGATGCTTCTCTGAACTTCCGTGAATATACTAAAGGCTTTGATAAAGTTAGAACCGTTATCGGTAGTTGTCAGAGTAAGCTTGTCTTTAATGTTGAATTCTCTGTGAACAGCTTCAAGCATCTCTGCCAAAACATCAAAAGTGTGCCTCCCTACAATTCTACGGCAGGCTAATGCTCCAGAGCGGATGTTCAAGGAGTCCTCATCTATCCAGTGGACACTGACACTGAGGAAGCTCCTATTATTTGATGACCAGGCATCTGTGGTGGTGCACAGGTGACTCTGTTTGGACATTACATCAGCCAAAGCAGTCTTCATGGAAGAGTATTCCTTGTCAAGAAGTCGCCCTAATGTTCGCCTTGGAATCAAATGCCTTGAGGGCAGAATTTCACTAAATAATTGTCTATATTCAGGTCTGTCCACAGTGTGGAGGGGGTGCATTCCTTGAACTATGAAGTTAAGAATCAGCTTATCGAAATGTTCCTGAGATATGATGGGTGTGCCCCCCCTGAAAAAATGTGACACGCTGGGTTGTAAGTCATGGTCTTCATCTTTTCCAGGTGGCGACATCTGGTGACATCTTTTTTTGGCCCGAGCACGCTCCTTGTCCAGCCATTCCATTTTATTTGGATGGACCCTCTAAAGAAGAAATGATTGATTCACAATTATTTTGTGGTCCCAAACCCCCCTCATATGGAGGACCAGCTCTGCCATATTTAAAAATAAATACAGAAATAAATAAATGCTCAATAAATAAATAAGCATGCAATTAATTGCCCCAAAAATACAATAAAGAAATGTAGGTAAAAATTAAATTATACAGTGAAACATAAATGTATATATCCCTTTTAATTAGCTTCTTTATTTATTCGCCTTTGTAATAATTACCTTATTTATTTAATGTTGTTATAATCTTTAACTTTATTTATTAAAATTTTCTTAAGTATTTATTTATGTGCATGATATAATATTTTTGTCTGTTTTATTCTGCCTTTGTATTTTTTCACCCTATTTATTTCTTCAACGCTATTTATTTCTGCCTGTGGTTTTTACATTTCTGCTTTATTATGCAAATCAGGAAGGGCTGTGTCTTAGAGGGTCAACTTCTGCTCATTGGTTGGTTAGCATTTACTGCATCGGTCGAATCTACATAGCATTGAAGAAATAAATAGGGTAAAAAATTAAAAGGAAGAATAAAACAGATAAAATATTACATAAATAAATAAGAATGATTACAAAGGTGAAAAAATAAAGAAGTTAATTAAGTGATATATATACATTTATGTCTCACTGTATAATTTAATTTCTACCTACATATATTTATTTATTGTATTTTTGGGGGCAATTAATTGAATGCTTATTTGATTATTGAGCATTTATTTATATTTGTATTTATTTTTATATATGGCATAGCTGTTCCTCCATATATAAAAATATCTTATCTGTGCAAATAAGCCTTAAAACAGATTCATATAATCATCCTGTCTGGTAAACTAGGCCATGAAAATACAATATCTAAGTTTCACTACTGCTCTCTAATAAGAGTATCTTAGTGGAACTATCTGGAAATTAAAGGCGCTAATAAAGGTAAAGCTGATATATTTTTCTCAGTTTTATTTTTTAAAAATTGACTGTAGTTGACCGTTTTAATGAGTGTTAAGCTATGTAAAACAAATGGCTAGTCTTGGTCACATGAGCTCTCTATGGCCAAGAACCTTGAAAATCACTCACGTTTGAATAACTGAACATTATAAAACAACATGCTAATCGAATTTTACAATTCTAAAAACTGCATAAGCTTTTTTTTTTTACACTTCTGCTTAGCCACTTGGCTAGTCCCTTTCCATCACACACTGCTTGCTGGTTAGCTAGGTAGCTTTCGTTTTACTAATTTATATACAGCATTTGGCTAAAGTGAGTTGGGATGTACATTGATGCTTCATGCTAGACATTTTTACTTGCATACTGCAGTAGGGAAATCAGTGATTCACCTGAATGTGGGTTATCAGGTTGGTGTTCGATGTCCAGGACGTTGACAACAGTTTCGTTTTGGGATTACAAAGCAGACATCTGAACACGTACTTTTTTTCAGAAGTTTCAACAAGTTTCATATATCTGTGAAGGTAAGGCCACGGTGTGGTAGGGACTTTTGGCTGCTCCTCTCGCTCTGCTTCTGTCTCCTCCTCCATCCTGTGTGGGTGTGTGGCTCAGTGTGTTGTTCGGTGAGTTCCACTGCAGTGCGCATGCGCATGTTTCAGTAGATACACACAGAGGAGGCAGAATAGAGGCTCATGCGTGAATGTCCAACGAATAACTCCGATTGTTGTTTCAAAAATAGAAAACCTGGTTTCATTTCTTAGTTATGCCCTGGATTTTGTAGCGTTTGTGGACGCTACGTCACTACTTGATCAAAAAAATAGCGTCACTACAGGAAAATTACTTGATAAATAAAGCAGCGACGCTACGGTCAAGCTACTTCAAAATGTAGTTAAACTAATAGCTTCGCTACATGTAGCGGCGCTACTGCCCATCACTGTGCATTTGTTGTTTCCATGTTAGCCAATGAGCCAATCCAGTTAGGGTCCCTTTCATCTCCTCAAACGTAGCTCATACGGTGGTGCTGGAAAGCTCTCTCCATCCTACAATTCTGGCTCAAGTTGTTTTGAGGGCTCTTCTGACTGCTAAGTCACTCTTCTGAGCTCTGTCAGGGATTCGTACAGCTTTAATGACACTTCCTAGAGTTATGTTACTGGTTCCAGCAGCTTAACTGACACCATCCCGGCTTTTTTGGCTCCTTAGCATGCTCATATGGCACTATGGTCCCAATTCAGGATTTCTCTGCAGATCTCAGCAGTTCCTAAGTTGTTCTTTCGGTCTCATCCAGGTGTTCCTGGCCTTCTGCATCATCCTGAACATTGTTATTTTTGGGTATGTTTTTGTTTCTTATCTTTCCTCTGATTTTTGGATTATTGATTAGTTGTCTTCCTTCATTTGCCCTACCTTCATTTTGTCTCAACTGCTCAACATTTTTTTATGGTTAATTTATCTGGTTCATTTGCCATTCTCCAGCTCTACCAGAGAAAATAAGCTCACTGGTTTCTTTGTTCCCCGTTGGATTTATCCGTAATACAACCTTACTATGCAATGCTGCCCAATTCACTTCCTTTTAACCTCTCAAAATACAAAAATAAACTCCAGAATATTCATAATAAAAATATTCCATGATGAGAGAATCGCCAGATAACATCTGTTGTTTGACATCAGAAAAGTTAGCTGGTCATAGCTAATGCTTAGCATCTAGCTAATAAGACTTAAGCTGCGTTCACTTTTGCTGCTTGGACCAGTATAGTTCTGAAGTGCAGCTGAAGCAGCTTTGCTGCTCTGGCCGCGCGGTGGAAGAGTGGGTCTGACGTGCGTTGGGCAGAGCTTTCCTATCCTTTCTTTGCCCTGCAGCTATATTTGCTGTGTGGGAATAAAGTAGTTTTAATATGTTTTAAGTGGGAAAATCCACCTGAAAACTTAATAACTGCAGTCACTTCATCCAGATTACCATCCTGCCTTCTAATATTATTTCTGTCGGAGCCGCTCAGACCCCCACATACCGGCGGAACGCTGTCAGTAGGAATCCCATCCAACAGCAGCCTCTGGCCCGGTCGCCTCTTCGAGGTTCACGCCTCGGCGGCTGGAAAGCTGTTTTCATGTACGTAAACCAAACTGCAGGCACCAGGATAATAAAAGCAACCATGTTTTGTTGGCAGTTTTCAGCATTTTAAGTTAAGTTAGGCGTTAATAAACTGTTTCAGACGAGTGATCATAGCGCTCTGTATCATCATCAGCAATGTGTCTGTCTACCTGCCAGCTCCCAGATCAGCTTTTCTGATTTGTTGATGTGGCGCGTCGAGCAGTAAAAGTTCAAATTTTCCATCTTGAGCAGCAGCGTGCGTTCCTGCTGCGTTCGCTCTGAATGCAGCATTACTTGCTTAAAAATTTTTCCCGGTGTTTGTTATGTTTCTTTACATCGTCTTCTTATCTACAAGACAAAAGCGTCCTCATCTTTGTATGGCTCAATTTGAGTCAGGTACAGACAGTTGATGAAGTCTCACAAGCACCCCTTGCATTGTCAGCCAATGACATAGAGAGTAGAGCAATATTATGCCTCATAGAGTCCCACTGTTATTGGTTAAGAACACGTGGACTGTTTGGCTTTGTATCCAATAAAATAAGGTTTCAAACAAGGGTAGACATGGCGGGTTGCAGAAAGCAGAGTCATGTTACTTGCGTAAGATTGAAAATACATGGCTGAGACTGGATCATTGTGCACAGTTTGAAGCAGTTTACTAACAACGCTCTGACTTTTTTTTAAGTTTGAACGATGATTTTGTTTTATTACGATCCCTAAGACCGAAAAAGCCCCCAACAAAATAAAGCTCAGAAAGGGCACTAGAGCTTATTTTTGCTTTAAAAACAGCAGTGTCATTTTTTTTCTATAGATGTGTATGTTATTTTAGGTTTATAAATGTTACATTTTGTTATATACGCTGATTCTGAAAAAAGTGAGAGAATACTTGCTTCATAAGTGTTTTGTGACCATAAAAAATGCTTCTGTGTTATTTTTATGGATCAAATAGTTGAGTAAAAGCATTTGTTACAATTGGGCAAGTTTTGGCACAATCTGGCACATTTGGAGAGGTTTGGAGATGCTGGTGACACCAAAACCTCAAAGCCCCACAACTGTGGAACTGTTGTAGCCAGAGGTCTGAAATTTTCTGCATTTGTACTTGACTTGATGTAGAACAAAAGTAATACAACAAGACATGTCAATTCTGTAGCATGTCTTTATTACTGATGTTCAAAAAATACCTATTATTTTCTAGATTAAAAAAACAACTTTGAGTCATCTTTGAACTGATGCAGCTTAGCCTGTGTTTTACTCACACTTCTTTCATTTATATTTTCAGAAACTAGAAGGTGTTAGCTTCCAAATGATGTATCACACATGTAGGCTTACAGTTCCTCAGTTATTGCTCTTCCATTTGGGTATGCAAATAGTTATTAATTATTATGTTACTAATTCTACCTCTTCTAGATCTCCTCCATGGACGTCATTTGTGCCAGGTCTCTTT